ATTGGCGGCCGGCGGAAACGAGATTAAAATGAAACATCATCATGATATGGAGAACAGTTATCTGACTCTTAACGAGCTCGTGTCTGGGAATTTTGACATGGAAGAGGAAATGGCCAACGAACATAGGCTAACGTTTTGGACGTATATTGTGTTAATTGTGGTGCAGGTCCTCATCTTCGTCGTCCTATTTCTGGAATGGAAATAAAAAACCAGGACTAGGGAAAAAATAAATAGAATTGGAAAATCAAACGATTGAAACTATCTCTGATAAATCTATTCCTAGCTAGTGATTTTAAAATGTAAATTATTATCTAGCTGCGGAAGGTGGAGTGAACTGTTGTGACGTTCATGACAAGTCATATTGAAAATGTGATAACAGGTAATGGAATTAAACCATTTACCAGTTGCCGGTTCATCAGAAAGACTATAAATGATAAAGGATAATTTGTGTATAAGAATGGGGTGTGTGTATTAAGGCTCGTTAATTAATACATGACATCAATAGCTCCTTACTAAAAGATGGAGCTACAAGAAGATTTTCCCCAACAACCATTAATCAACCATCTCCGTTATAGTTCAGCCTGTTTCTCAAGACCCTTTGTTGAGTAATATGATAATTTAATTTCGTGTCAGAATGAAAACAAATATCAGTTTCGAGTCGCATAATAAATATCAAATTTTTTATACAAGCAGTTGAAGTCTCTCTGCTATGCCAAGTTGTGTTCGAGTAATGTTGGCCAAGTATACGACCATTAGCATGTCCTTTAAATAAGAAACGAAAAATACTCAGTAAAATGAATCGCAGCGATTAAGTCAGTCCATCACCTTTCACATACAAAAAGATTTACATACTTGTAGATGACCATTAAACATCTTTTCAAATTCCGTTTTATCAATCTTTGGCACAACTGAAATGGTATCCATTAAGAATCGTCCGATTGTATTATTCGGAACCACTTCACCGTTTATTACTTTATGTACATAATCATTAACTCTTTCTAACATTTCCTGCACTGAAACTATTGCATTTTCCAGATTATCCATGTCAGAAATTAGCGATGTTGTCCTGTCTGGATTATTCATCGTAGAGGCAAGCAGATTAACTGTAAAGAAAACGGGGGTTTGTGAGTAAAAACTTTTGTGAAACCGCTCATAAAAGACATGCTATTATCCCATCACTCACGTCCACTTCTCTCTGCATCAAAGTATTTTACATCACATGGAATGGGCAAGAACATGCAGTTTTCTGGTTTGGCCGGTATGCCGATTGGCGAACTATAATTTCGCGCGTGTGTGTGAGTGCGTTTCGTACAAGAATTTTAACGGGCTCGTTAAGAGTCAGATAACTGTTCTCCATATCATGATGATGTTTCATTTTAATCTCGTTTCCGCCGGCCGCCAAT